AATTTCCTACGCAAACACTCTCAAAATTGAAAAATTCTCAATTATAACAATTAACTTTAATCTTTATCCATAACTCTTTTTATCTACACACCTCCCCACCTTCCCCAAAACTTCGGTCATTCACTAGAATATAATTAGTTATTTGTAACAATGAGAATAATTATGAATAATAGTGCGAAATAAATATTTAAAAATTATTGTACATAATAATAATATTATAACTGCTACTTGTTTTATAATAAGATGATACATTATTTTACCAAACATTATACATAATTTATTAGATAATAAATATTAAATTATTTAATAATAATTTATAAGTTATAACAAGATAATTAGCATAATACTATAAATAAAAAATATACTATTAAATTCTATAATAATTAAATAAATAGTATTATAAATATTTAAATAATATAAATATTATAAGAAGATATCAATTATAATCATAGAGCAAATAATAATAGTATAACTGTTGTAAACTTAAATTGATAAGAGATCTTGTCTACCAAGTTTTTTATTCATTAGATTTGCTTTGAGATTTTTGTTGACATGCAACACAAATCATAACACACATCTCAAAGATGACATTGATGTATATCACATAACAATATGAATCTCAAAGCAAATCTAATCGATAAAAATATTGGTGGATAGAACTCTCAATTAACTCAATGTTATTCTAGATTTACTCATTATAATATTACTTAAGTTAAGAATTAAATGATTATTTAATAATTATACTATTAGATAAAGTATGTAATAGTAGTATATCCATCAATAACAGGAATGGTATTAACTATGTAAAAATAGTAGTAAAATAATTATAAAATAACTATAAACGTTAAACTATTTAATAAATTTTTATAATTATAATATAAAATTTTAAATATAATATATTATTAAATACTCTCAAGAATTATGCTATTATATAAAACATATATAGTATAATTAACTAATATAAATATTTAATAGTTCATATAGTATAACTATTTTTACAGTATTACTTAACTTTAAGAATTGCACCATAACCTCTTAATTATAATATTATATGATTTATTTAATATTGTTATGATAAAATAACTTCAGAAATTTTTAATATAATACTGTATTTTATTATAATTATTAATCTTATTATGATTATACTGTGCATAATCATTATAAATATGAATAGTTTTAAAATAGCATATTTTTTTTACAAATATTCTAAGTTACTATTGTGCAATTGTAATTATTTTTTTGGAAAGAAAAAAAAATAGAGTGAGATGCCCTATTCATATATAAGTTAATCCACTAATTAATTCTAGTGTGAAGTAGTCTAGGACTAGCAACGATCAAACAATTCATATCTAAGAATAAAAAGAGGACCATAGCCGTCACCTATTACTATTGTAATTATTAGAATATATTATCATTATAAATAATACTTTAATGTATTATACTTATTTAAATAAATTGCAATTGAATTATAGCAATTGTCCAAATAATAATAATTCATACAATTACTTTTACCTAATTTGATTGGATAAATTTTATTTATTAGTACAGAATATTAAGTTTTCAAAGAAACAAAAATTAAAAACTTAAAATAAGTATGTCATCGTGCAACATTATAATAGTCATTCAAAAATAAGATCTAAAGAGCGATGCAAAGGAAAAGAAGTCTGGAATTGTTAATTCAAATGCAGAATATAGAAAAACATTGAGTAGATAATTATTCACAAATAAAGACATAATTTTTCTTTTTTGGATCTGATTCTAAACTGAAGTTAATAAAAAAAATTCACGAAATAAATAAACAAAATAAGAAAAGGACACAGCACACCAAATGGAATTGTCAGCGAAAAGGAACACAAAGTAACCACTCTTTGCAAGTAAGTGATCAAAGGGAATGACCTGAACGTCACGGAAAGAACAACGTGAACAAGTGGAGCCATTATTGATATTTGCCGACCAAAAGATATCTTCCTCTCCATTTGTTTAATCTCTGCACAATTCAATCAATTTAGATTGATTTCTTTTGATGAATTGGTAAGAGACAGCTCAAGCATTGCTTTCCACGTCTTTTTCCTAATATTTTAGGATTTTGTATATGATTTGTTTTTTTTCCAACGTCAAGTATTGCAAGAGAAGGATTAATAGATCAATATTTATGTTTGGAAGGTTCCAATATAATTCTCCCGGTCTTGGATTCAATTTCGGGCTGTATAATAATTGTTATGATGTTTTCAATCGTCAAAGCGTAACCAATTGCCAGCATCGGACATGTGTCCTTCTACATGCAATACCCCAATCAAATTGGCGGCCAAGTCCAGCAAGGATCCTGACTTAGCCGACTCGCTGAGTCAACATATTCTTGTGTCGACTTGAATCACGGTACTTGTCGGTCCTCTTGTCGAAGACGACTTTCCACGAGCCCACTCGACAGTTATTCGCCTTCTCGCGAGGTCGACTCGAAAGACGTTACTTCTCAGCCAAGCTAAAATACAACTTCAACATTGAGCCCTCTCCCACTGACAACGTGTCAGCATCACATTTAATGCTTGGTAGGCGTCATCATGACTTTAGCCCCGATAGTCTTCATGACTCATCGGACCACGTCAACACCGCTATACCCCCGATCACTTCTCATTTAATGTTGAGGTGATCTCTCCTCCACTCGTTGGCTGACACGTGTAAAGTAGGTGCTGATGCAGCCGCCGGCCCATATTTATTTACCGCCATCGTGTGCTCGCCCGAAATGACGGTTCTACCCTTTTTTCTATCAGTATAAAAAGAGGCCCTATTCCAGATACCAAGGTATGCTGTCTTGATCAATTCTACTACACTTGCAGTTCTTCATTTCCTCACTCAAATTCATCAACTGACTTTATCGTCGGAGGAACAACGGGGCAACCAAGTCCTGTCCTGGCTAAAGCTACTCAACTCAAAACCAGATATTCGGAGAAGTGAGCGGGCCCTAATTAATCTCATCCACCCATATATTTGATTGTTTGATTATTTACATCTACAACAACAATAATAGTAAGTTTCTCATCTCTTAAAACCTGACGGTTCTAATAGTTCTGATTTCACTAGATACTTTTTGATTTGTTTATTCTTAACATTGCCCAACGCAATGCCTCTTTTAAATTATCCTTACTTTTTTACTCTTTTCCTTAATTAGATATCAGTTATAATCATAGAACAAATATACAATATAATAAACGATTATAATTGAGAAAATAAAGCAAATTGTTTTGATGCTTATATAATAGATATGTGGCAATAATAAGACTGTCCAAGAGGAACCTGTATAACAAAAACTGTTAAAGTGAGAGCACACCGGTAATCGGAAAATGCAGAAAATGAGATATAAACTAATACATTTTTTGGAGGGGAGAATGATGGATCATAATTTTAATCAATTGTCAGATGTTGGGTTATGGATGAGGACAATACGTTTGGAAGTTAGCCACATGGGATATTTGTAATCTAGTAAAGTCATATGATGTCTCCACATGTTCAGTTGGTTAATTATTGAGCTACCAGTTTCCTAAAAGAGCATTATCGTCCTACTGGCTTTATTGTGATATCCGTATCCTTAAAAAGAAAACAACAACAACAAATTTCCCCTGTTATTTTATGACAAATCCCACAAAACACCGTCAATACTGTAATAAGTGGTAATTAGATAGGATACCGGGGCCCTCTTCTCTTAAGTCATGTTAATAGTATTAGAGTTACATGATAGTTTATCTCTGATCAATATAAGACTTAACTAAACTAAACACAGCAAACTCACCATAACGACTCTCAACGCTTTCCTTCAAGCTGAGCATATATATCATACATGCTTTGATTATCACAAATAAAGTTCACTCGTGTTCTCATAAGAGATTTTGTAACAATATCTGCAAGCTGATGATCTAAGGAGATATGTTTGTCTCTAATGATTTTTTTTCTCCATCTTCTTACAAATTAAGTAGCAATCAATCTCTACATACTTTGTCTTATCATGGAACATCGAATTCGCATCTATGGCGGACTTGTTATCTCCATATAAGCTCATTGGCCATTCATGAGGAAAACCAATTTCCATTAATATATCTCTATCCCAAATAAGGTCACATGTTCGATTCGCCATGGTTCGATTCTCAGACTTAATTAGCTGCAAATTAAGAGATTACACTTTGGTTCTTACTTTTTCATGAAACTAGGTTTCCTCTAAGAAATACACAATATATAGTGGCTGATCGTCTATCTGCTAGAGATATTGCCCAATCTACATTTGAGAATTCTACAACTCTTGTGTGTACACCGTCTGAATAGAGAACTCACATGGTTAAAAATTTCTCTGGATAACTAAGAATTCTCTTCAAAGCCTCTATATGCGGTATCCTCGGAACGAGAGAAATTGACTAATTACACTAACAAGAAATGCAATATTCAATCTAATAATTGCTAGATAGTTCAGCTTCCCTAAAAGTGTTATGTATTTTTCAGTATCTTCCAAGAGCTCCCCTTGATCTGATAGTAATTTGGCCTTTCATCTATAGGTGAATCCATGCCTTTACATTCTGACATCTAGGCATTCAACAACATATCAAGCACACATTTTCTCTGAGTTGAGAGAATATCCTTCTTCAATCTAGCCACTTCAATACAACAAACATATTTCAAGGATCTAACATTCTTTATCAAAAGCTACTGCTATGGATACTTCTTCAGGCTTTTGATGCAATTACATCATCTCCAGTGATCATAACATCATCAACACATACAACTAGAAGAATCTTTTGTCCACTATGAAAAATCTCTAGAAAACCGAGTGGTCTTTTTGAGCTTGATGAAGATCAAAGTCCGAGATTACTGTTGCAAAAGTTTATGTAATAACTCTAGGTTTTATTGGTTATTTATATATAAAAGGAAAAGTAAATGACTTTTATGTAAGAATTGTTAGAGAGGGTTTTAATAGAAAAAAAGGATCTTTATAAATTCCTAAAACCCTACATCTTTTACCCGTCAGCCTCTTCTTCCTTCTTCCTATCTTTTTCCGCCGCACAAAAAAAATGTCTTTCCCTTTACAATTTCGCAGCACAAACAAAAAAAAAATCAAAGAAGAAGAAGAAGAAGAAGAAGAAGAAGAAGAGAACAAGAGCCTGAACATATTGGGTGAAGCAATCGATTTGTTTTTGGGAAAATAAGCTTTGAGCAAGGTAGATATTCCTAATCTTATCTTAAGTAGTATGCTCATATCAAATATATTATTGACCTCCTTATCTGATTTTCAGCCATGGCTTCAATCTAGGTTTTCAATCTTGTATTTGTACAACTTAAATTCTATGGTTCTTCTAATTTATCTGTCCAAAGACATGGAATTAATGTTGAGGTTCGAAACATTTTACTTTCCTTTATATCTTTTTATGTAAAGGTGTTTAATACATAGGCTACTTCTGGACCTTCTTATTTCCTATTAGATATATAATATATATACCTAATGATGACTTTGAGTGTATCTAAAAGGGGTATTAATATATATATATATATATATATATATATATATATATATATATATATTGATATATATATATATTGATAATTACTTGTTTTTATCCTATAGGAGCTCCTACAGGCTCCTGAGAAAACACTATGAGAGGATTGAATTGTTGGTTTGTTCTTCGAATTAAGGTAAGTGGTAAATTTATGTATTGTGCATTGCGTATTTTCCCTACGAAATGATAGTAAGTATATGTGGATTTCTTTCCTGATTGATTATATCCTTCTTATGATTTACTGGTATATCATTTGTTGACTAGTTTGATTTTGTGAGGCTCATGGATATTTGGTATAAGCTTATGCTTATTTTCTTTATCAATTGTTATGTCTTTTTATATGGTAGTAGATTGAGATGCACATGTGGTTGATTGATTTCACTAGCGGTTGGCCTTTGGCATTTTTGAATAACATACTTGGTTATATGAATTATTATTATTATTATTATTTTTAACATATGCATCTTAAGTCAATATACTGATATATATCGGATATAAGCAAGTTATTAAAATAGGGCTCAATGTGCCTCTATGAGGTTTTTATATTAGCGCTAAGAGCCCAAATTTGGGTCTCACCGTCCCGGAACCACAGACTTAATAATTGTGGGGTTTAACAAGTCAACCGGCGTATGAAGTGTTGATTGAGACGTAGCCTGCTTATTTCCATTTCATGATTTCTAAATTTTCTTAAATATTTGTATCAAGTATTAGAGTTCATCTATCATTCTTATATTTTGTTTATCTCTCGTTGTAATATTTTAGTTTTGCAAAACCAGTGTTTAATATATGAATTTATCCACTTATTGAGTTGTGAACTCATTGTGTTATTTTCCTTTCTTTTCAGAAACTCGAGATTAGGTGGAGTTGAAGATTTATTTGTCAACTTCTTAGAACGGAGCAAGGAATAAAATTCAATATTGTTATTATCTTCTAGGTGAATGTTAAATAAAATCTTGATGTTTAGTTGATGAATTGAGATTCTGGTGGTTACGCGATTTCTTTTCTTTAGGTCGAGTTTTATTTCAAGTTGAGGAATATTTGTTCATATCAAGTTAATTGGATTTTTCTTTAGGTCGAGTTTTATTTCAAGTTGAGGAATATTTGTTCATATCAAGTTAATTGGATTAATGTTGACTTTTGGGATCGAGTTTTATTTCAAGTTGAGGAATATTTGTTCATATCAAGTTAATTGGATTAATGTTGACTTTTGGGATTATAGAGAATATTTATTGTTGGTTTTAGTTTAATGAAGAGATTATTTTGATGGTCTTTTCATGAATGCAGTTTTTGGAGGATTATTCATAGATTTAGTTTGGCTCCAATATTACTCTTAGGTTCGGAATTTGGGGTTGTGACAGAATGGTATCAGATCTTAGGCTGTAGGTCCAAATTGATTTTTGAGATGGTCAAGTGATGAAAGAAAAATATATTGGATTTTTATGCATAGAAATAAAAGTTGATGTTTTATTTTGAAGTGTGATCGAGGACAACATGAACACTATTAGATCAAATTTCAGATATAGGGGTATATAAGCTTAGAACCAGGGAAAACATAATATCTTTAGTTTTGCTATCTTAAAGGTAAAAGACTTAGTCTGGGTAGTTTAAGGTATGACCTATGTATGTATTTCATGAAAAATATTATTTGATTACTTATGCTTGTGATGGATATGTTATGAATTGATTCAATAAATATTAATACGAGGAATATTTTGTAATAAATATAATTGTTTTTGGTAATGTTAGATTGAGATGGCTCGTGGTAAGAAAGGCTCTAGTGTTGCAACAAGGCACTCTTCTCCTAGACTTGATGCTAATGTGGGGGTTACGCTACATTCGAGTATACCCTAATCAATTAGGCGTCCCCGGACTAGGGTTGGTGGAAATGATGATGCAGGTCAACAAAACATCAAGACCCCTAATGTTACAAATGAGGCTCCTGATGGGAATGTCAGGGGAAGATCAGGACCCAGAACTCGTGGGGATATGGCTACCCGTACTACTAGGACTACGAGAGGGATTACTGGAGCTCAGTTGGGTGTTGAAGGACTCGCCAGTTTTATTGAAATGCAGAGTGGTTTCATGGTAAGGCAAATATAGATCCTTGAAAAGCAGGTCAGCAAATAGAGATCCTTGAAAAGCAGGTCAACAAAACATCAAGACCCCTAATGTTACAAATGAGGCTCCTGATGGGAATGTCAGGGGAAGATCAGGACCCAGAACTCGTGGGGATATGACTACCCGTACTACTAGGACTGCGAGAGGGATTACTGGAGCTCAGTTGGGTGTTGAAGGACTCGCCAGTTTTATCGAAATGCAGAGTGGTTTCATGGAAAGGCAAATAGAGATCCTTGAAAAGCAGTCAGAGGCAATTGAGAAGCTGAGCGAAGCACTAAATACAGAAAAGAAGACAAAACCTTTTGGTAGTGACTTTGAAAAGTTTAAGAAGATGTCTCCACCATCTTTTCAGGGAGGTTCTGATCCAACGATGGCACAAGAATGGCTGAAGAAAATGGAAAAGTACTTCAGAGCCTTGGGATGTTCAGAGGAGCAAAAAGTTATTTATGCTACCTTTATGCTCGAGGGAGATGCAGAGATTTGGTGGGAAACTAAGGAGTCCAGTTTATCACTTGAAGTGGAGGATATTCCTTGGAGCATATTTGTTAAATTATTCAGGGAGAAATATTTTCCCTTGTATGTTTGATCTCGCAAGAAGAGGAAACTTATGGATTTGCAGCAATGTGACATGACAGTGGAAGAATATGAAACTAAGTTTAATGAATTATCTCGATATGCACCTAAGCTAGTTGCAGAAGAATTTGATAAGATTGATATGTTTGAGAATGAGTTAAGGCCATAAATTCATCAAAAGGTTACAGTGGTCATGTCAAAAACTTTTGAGGAGGCAGTGGAGAGAGCAAAAAGGGCTGAAAAAGCTAGTAAGGGAGAAAAGATTGCAGATGTACCAAACAAGAACTGGGATCAGAAGATGCAGATAAGAGACGAGAGTAATCTAAAAGATAAGTCAACTTTTAAGCCTTTTAGGAAGCCAGCATTTCGAGGGTCAGGAGCTCCAGTGTAGAGATCAAAGCAATTTGTGCAGAGGATAGGTCCTCCTATTCAGAGACATGATGGACACTGTTATAAATGCGGCAAAAATCACGAAGGCCATGTTTGTTCTTTATTCCGAGGTTGTTTTGAGTGTGTCTAATAGGGCCATATTATGAGAGATTGTCCAGCAAAGAAGGGACCCAAGACTGATGATCAGAAAGTGAAGCCTACACGTGGCGATGGACAAAAATCTAAGGCACAAGGGAGAGTATTTGCTTTGACGAAGCATGATGCTCTCGCATCTAACTCTGTTGTTACAGGTGCACTCGTTATTTCCTCTAAGCTCGCAAATGTGTTGTTTGATTCTGGTTCTTCTCATTCATTTATATCTCATAGTTTTGCTAGTAAGTTAGGCAGAACTCCAGAATTTTTAGAATATGAACTATCAGTTTCCACCCCATCTGGCGATTGTATGATCACTAATCACATCTTTAAGGGATGTGAGGTTGTAGTGGGGAGATCGAACCATGATTTCGAATCTTGTGTTACTTGATATTCATGATTTTGATGTTATTCTTGGAATGGATTGGCTCTCTACTTATCATGCATATCTAGATTGTTTTCAGAAGCGAGTTTCATTCAGAATTCCTAGGGAGTCCAAGTTTTGTTTCGAGGGGACGCGTGTTAGTGTACCTCCATGTGTTATTTCAGCTATGCGAGCTTGTAGACTTCTAAGAAAAGGTTGTCAGGGTTATCTTGCTAGTGTAGTTTGTACCGAGAAGAAGGAAGTCATTTTGGATGAAATTCCAATTGTTCGAGAATACCCTGAGGTTTTTCCTAAAGACTTGCCAGAGCTACCAACTGACAGGGAGATTGAGTTCGCTGTTGATTTAATTCTAGGAACATTGCCAATCTCAAAAGTACCTTATCGAATGGCACCAATAGAAATGAGGGAGTTGAAGACTCAATTGCAGGAGTTGTTAGATAAGGGCTTCATCAGGCCGAGTGTATCTCCTTTGAAGACTCAATTGCAGGAGTTGTTAGATAAGGGCTTCATCAGGCCGAGTGTATCTCCTTGGGGTGCTCCAGTACTTTTTGTGAAGAAGAAAGATGGGAGGGCTTCATCAGGCCGAGTGTATCTCCTTGGGGTGCTCCAGTACTTTTTGTGAAGAAGAAAGATGGGAGTATGAGACTTTGTATAGATTACATAGAACTGAATAGGGTGACTGTGAAGAACAAATATCCTTTGCCTCGGATTGATGATTTATTTGATCAGTTGAAGGGCGCCTAGGTGTTCTCAAAGATTGACCTTTAGTCTGGTTATCACTAGCTCAAGATTAAGCTTGAAGATGTGTCGAAGACTACATTTAGAACAAGATATGGACACTATGAATTCTTAGTGATGGCATTTGGATTAACAAATGCTCCAGGTTCTTTTATAGACTTGATAAATAGGGTGTTCAGGTCTTATCTTGACCACTTTGTAGTTGTTTTTATTGATGATATTTTGGTCTATTCTAGAAGCCGAGAGGAACATGAATGTAAAACCCCATATTTTATTAGAAGTATATGTGAATTATTAGTGATAAATAATTCTATTTGTGGTAAATAACTTGAGGTCATGGATATACTTGGTAACAAGTTATTAGACATGTATGAGTATGGTTTCATAGAGTTTCATGCATTGATTTTGGCTGAATCACAAAACATGCACGAATCTGGAAATTTATATCTGCTCAGTCGACTTATGAGTCGACTCATGAGTCGACTAATGAGTCGCCTGATGAGTTGACCAATGAGTCGACTGACGGGCTGAATTCAAGTTTTTTTTTCTTTTGCGGGTTTGGTTTGGTTTGTTTCGGGTTTGACCGCTTACATAAAAACTCTTCTACCCGAAACCAACCCCAAAACTCATTAGATCCCAGATAAAACCCTAGCCCCTCTCTCCCCTCAAACCATAATTCGTTTTTGGCGATTTTTAGGGGATTTTTCGGAGGGTTTCAGCGGGTTTTGGCGAGGTGCAGCATAGGGGATCTTTCTCTCTCGGATTCAAGAGCTTGTCAGCATACCAGAGGCGAGTAACATCTCGCCCAATCCTACACCCACTGTTTGTATAGTTTTATTTGGTTTAATTTCGGATTTATTGAGCCTAAATCATTATATTGCGTATAAAATATAACCCTATGGTATATGATGCAAGAAATCAGATGTTTCAGTTAATAAAAAAACTCACCAACGTTTTTATAATGTAGATCCAGATATGGAGTTAGTTTTAAACATGGGTTTCTTATGATTCTTTATTTTCAATACGTTTTTAAACATGTATACATATGATTAGGGTTTTAATGTAAATAATTACATACAAATCTTTCGTTCTATTGATATACATGTGTTAGAATCGGACATATGTTGCTGGACATGGTCAAAGAGAACTTTTGTTTATAAATTTTTGCAGATAATCATCATAAGCAGAAAAGTAGGGATTTTCTGCTCAGTCGACCAATGAGTTGACTCATGAGTCGACTTATGAGTCGACTAATGAGTCGACCAATGAGTCGACTGATTGGAAAACTTTAGTTTTTTTTGTGTTTGTCTGGTCGACCAATGAGTCGACCAATCCTAGTCGACTTATAGGATTGGTCGACTCATGGGTCGACTGATGAGGGGATTTTTAGTTTTCTTCAGTTTGGATCTATGTGAGTTATTTCAGTTTAACTGAAACTATTTATGGTTGTTTATTGTTGATGCGTGTTTCAATATGAATGAGAAGTTTGCCTCGAATGGTGAGTATTAGAAATTTATTATAACCTGTATCTTTACATGTGAGTTGACATGTGGACACGAGTTTAGGTTTGCGCATCGAGACACGTGAGAAATAAGGGTATATGCACCTGTTCATATAATTCATCTAGTCCATGTGTTGGGCAATTATGATGGGTAGTCCATGTGTTGGACAGTTTTCATATGCAGTTCATATGTTGGACATCCACTACATTAGTTTAGACCTTGAGAGTTTACACTGACACTTACATAGGCTGCACATGACACTTATATGAGTTGTGACACGACACCGTAATTTAATCTGAGATGAGTTTGCCTTCTTTTATTAATGTTCTTTTATTAGATTTTGGGTTTGGTATTTAGGGATGTACAATTTGAGATACAAGGTATATACATGAGGGTTTCCTTGTTTGGATTATTTCGCTCGACGTACCTATGCTCGTGCTGTAACTTCCTAAATACTAAAATCCTCTTATACATAGGTACTTACAATCTGAGCTACATGGTATATACATGAGGGTTTCCTTGTTTGGATTATTTCGCTCGACGTGCTTATGCTCACGTTGTAATTACCTAAATAGGATTTGTGATTTTATATATGTTATAACTGTATTTTCTGTATACAATGAGCCCTTTTCCTTAGGGTTGGTTGTGATGTTGCTCGCTTGCGCTTTGACGCTCGCTGTCCCTCCCTCTTTCAGGTAATGAGCCAGGATCCCGGAGAGTCGCAGGTTGATGGCGAGGCACTTTAGCTTCAGCTATTCTATTATAGTTATATTTTACTTTTGAGCTCCACTAAAGGCTTTTGTTTAGACATTTTGAGAGTTTATTTCTAGAAGTTGTAAAGGCTGTGTGCCTTATCTCCTCTTTTTCAGACTTTATGTATTTGAGACTTGTTGGAACTTTAGTTTATTCATTTCAGATATTGACTTGTATTTCAGTATGTTAGATGATGAAATATTAATTTGATCTCTATTATTTCATCAGTTGACTCTTGTGTTATCTTTTACTTGTTTTTGTACCTACACCTGTTATTGACTCTACTAGAGAGATAGTAATTATGATGGTGAAACATGTTATTGCACGGTGTGGTGCATGGCAGGTTTGACATTCTTGGTTTCACCTTGGACTGCAGCCTTGTGTGAACCCAGGGGCGTCACAGTTGGTATCAGAGCTCTAGTATTCTTAGGATCATCCCGTGTCGAGTTGTGGAGCTAGGATAGAGTTTCTTAGAATTCATGTATAGAGTCCGTAAGGATTCCCTAGTATGAGTGAGGACGATATATGTGTATATCTCAAAATTTGTGGATATTTTTTTTATGACAACTATTTTTGTGTAAACTTAAAGTATTTGGGTGAATACTAAATTGTTTTGAAAATCATATTATGATATGCTATGTATGTGTATATGTCTATTTGGACTCATAAACTCTTGTTTTCTTATGATCAGAGAGATGGCAGGATGTGGTAGACCTCGTACTCTCGATGATGCTCGGACAGCAAGCTATAGTCGCCAGCAGCTCCCACCCTGACGCCATGCCAAGCTCAACCGAGCCACAACAGGCACCACCTTGACGCCGTAGCAGGCTCCCTAGTATCTTATTCGATCTTATGGCTCCATCGTACTAGGCATGCAGAATTGCAGGAGGTTGTGGCGAGTCATATCGCTACCACCGAACCGCCACCCACATAGCGCGAGAGTATCAGCCATAAGGCGATACAGCCATATGCCTATCAGCGAGAGACCCCCAGAGACCGCACTGGCAGCTATTCTACCAGTAGTCCCAGATAGAGCCACAGAGCAGGAGGCTTGGCTCCGTATGGTTGAGTGGTATCAGAAGATGAGAGCACCAGAGTTCCAGGGGTCAGCAGATCCTCTTGTAGCCCATAAGTGGAAGGAGGGTGTGAGTAACATCCTCGATATACTTAATGTGGATT